GGGGTCTCACTCTTGCTCAGGCTGGTTTCGAACTCCTGAGCTCAAACAATCTGCCTCAGCCTCCCATAGTGCTAGGATTACAGGCGTGAGCCACCGCGCCTGGCCTGTATATTTTTTAAACTTAGAATTATACTCTCATACTCTGGTTTGCTATATAGTGTTTGTAATCATTATTTTTTAAAACTCCCTAATAGTTCTTTTTGTGTGTATGTGAGAGATGAGGTCTTGCTCTGTTGCCCAGACTGGAGTATAGTGGCGTGACCACAGCTCACTGTAATCTCCAACTCCCAGGTTCAGGTGATCCTGCTGGCTCAGCCTCTCAAATAGCTAGGACTACAGGTGCATGCCACCACACCTGGATAATTTTTTAAATTTTTTTTAGAGATGGGATCTTGCTGTGTTGCCCAGGCTGGCCTTAAACTCTTAGCTTCAAGCAGTCCTCCTGACTCAGCCTCCCAAAGTACTGGGATTTATAGACGTGAGCCACTGTGCCTGGCCCCTAATCATTCATTGAGTAGATGTTATACTTTTGACTTAGGTGTTTTCCTAATTATTAATAAGCTTTAAAAAATTTGCTATTAGAAATAACTCAGATACCCCTCCTTTTGCATATAGCTATTTTGGTTTCTGAAAGTATTTTAGTTTTTTAAATTAAACTTTAATTTTGAGATAATTACAGATTCACATACAGTTACAAGAATTAATACAAGGAGAACCTGTGTACCCTTTACCCATTCCCCTCAGTGGTAACATCTTACAAAACTACAGTACGCTACCACAACCAGGATATTAACAGGTTGATACAGAATAGTTCCATCACCATCCAACCCGGAGTCACTATTTTATAGCTACACACATCCCCTCTGGTAATCAGTGATCTATTCTTCATTTCTATAATTTTGTCATTTTAAGAATGTTACATAAATGGTATCATACAGTATGTGATCTTTTTGGAACTGGCTTTCTTTACATGGCATACTTCCCTGGAGATTCCTACAAGTCATTGCATCTATCAGAGTTTGTTCTGCTGCTAGTGAGCCCATCTCCAAAAGAGCTTCCTGCAAGTGCTAAGATGGTGGAAAAACAAGTGGTCAATGTTCCCCAGGCTGTGATTCAATTTTTATCTTATCATGCTCACCCACCATTCAAGTCTACTTTCTCCCTCTTCTCTCAGTCTCTCTTCTTGGCTCTTTTTTTTTTCCTGCTCTATAACCATGACCCACCATATCCCAGCCATTCTTTAGGAACTCAGACGTATTTTTCTTTTCCTAGCATGATTCCCACTCCAAGATACTTACATGTCTTTAACAACACCTTCCGTACAGCTTCATGGTACTTTGTGTGGCTATTCTGGTGCACAGAATAATTCCCATCTTCTGAGAAAATGTGGGGAAGCCTAGTGGGCACTGGTTCCTTCTGGTCTGAAATGAGAGTAGACTTGTTCTGAGTACTTGGCAAATGGCTTTTTTCTCTGGTTCCCTGGTCTCCAATGCCAACCAAGTACATGGCAGGGATCTCTCCTAGCCACTCACATCTGATTCTCAGGGTCTCGGGAATCAAATCACCATGCCTGTGACAGAGGAGGGGGATCATGAGATCTCCTTTAGCACTGTCTTGCTCCTCCCTGACTCCTGGGTTTTGAGTGGCCTCGTGTTAACAGGATTTTGGGCAGATACTTAGGGTTAGTGCAGGTGATAAAGGGCCTTTATCTGGGTGGACACTCCTGGGATTGGCATATTTGTAGAACTTCAAATGGTCTAGTAGGGGAAGTTATGCTTGAGCTAAGTCTTGGAGGTTAAGGAGTTCATGGGCCAGAGTAGAATCAGGAAGAGCATTTCAGGCAGCAGAATGCAAGTGTGTTAGAAGCACTACAGAGACATCCGAGGGCCAGGAGCAGTGGCTCACTCCTGTAATCTCGGCACTCTGGGGGGCCGAGGTGGGATGATTGCCTGAGGCCAGGAGTTTAAGACCAGCCTGAGTAAGACCCCATCTCTACAAAAAAATAGAAAAATTAGTCAAGTGTGGTGGCACACACCTGTAGTCCCAGCTACTTGGGAGGCTGAGGCAGGAGGATTGCTTGAGCCCAGGAATTTGAAGTTGCAGTGAGCTATGATGAAGCCACGGCACTCCAGCCTGGGTGACAGAGTGAGACTCTGTCTCAAAAAAAAAAAAAAAAAAAATAGAGGCATCAGAGAGTTATTTATTTGATTCGGAACCTAGAGTGCTGGGTGAAGTGGAAGACAGGGGATGGGGCTTGAAAAGTAGTGTAGAGTAGTGACTACCTAGCATTAATCATGTTTGGGAATCACCTCTTATAAAGCAAAGCCTATGTATCTCATCATAGAGGCTGAAAAGACCAGATCTTCCTTACCCAGCCTCTCTTGCAGCAAGGGCATGGACAAAGGATTTGGGTTAGGCCCAACATATCTGCTCCAGATTCTGAATCAAAGATGAGGTTGCAAAGAAGCAGTGGACGTACAAAGTCTGATGGAGGTGGTAGCAGTGAAGCTGCATCTTGTTTCTGGCAGCAGTATTCAGGGCCCAGCATCCTTGGTGCGAGCAGTGTCCTCCATAGTATTGCAGGTAGTAGTATTTATGCCAAACCAAGTCTGTGGTATGATTGTGAGCATTGTTTCTGGTTACTATCCACCGAGTTTGGTTCTCTATTCCTCCTGTAGCTTTTATGTGCTTCCCAATATATTTTTTGATACATTCATGTTCTGCTTAAATGGGCTAGATTTAGCTTGCATGTCAGACTCCTGAACAAGAGTGAATGAGTTTCAGAAAAATTTAATATACAAAACGCATTTGGTGAAGAGGTGAGAAAAAGAGAGCTGTCTAGGGTGGCTCCCAGATTTCTGTCTCTTGGATGTTCCATCCATCACCCAAGCCAAAAGGGGCTGGGCCCCTTTCCTCATCTCTTCCAGTCTCAGATGCAGAGTGAAATCCAGTTCTGCATCTGATATCTTCTGTGCCCTTCTTCTGTTTTCATGGAGCAGCATCTCTGTCCCACTCTTCAGATTTTTATCTTTCTTGATTACTGATGTTTGTCAGGAACAGGATCAGAGTTTGCCATTCTTTTCGGAAATTGTTTGTTGAGGATTGCTGACTCATCTCTGGTGGAGGGTGGGGATGCAACCTCTGTTCTGGAGTTTTCCCCCAGCTCCTGCTTTTTCCCCTTCTTCCTGGCTTGGTTCTACTCATTCATCATCTGTCCCTCCTCTTTCCCTTTTGCCCTTCCATCAAAATCCACTCTAACATCCTCTATTTGGGATAATGACACCACCAGAGTGGGGCATGGTTTGGGTCCTCTCCATGTACAGTTGAGGACTTGCAGAGGTGGCAGTACTGAAGCCCTTATTAGCATAGAGTTTTGGAAGTCTGGACTCAACTAGGGGGCTGATTTGTACTTCCTCACAGGTTACAGCAATGACGGGCCATTTCCTGGAAGCAATGTCATTTGAGCTTGGTCATTTGACTTTGGGCAAAGTGGAGGTGGCAGAATGTCCATGGACAAATAGATGTAGACTGAGGAGAACGAAGAAGACCATATGCCTAGTGATCTGAGCTCAGGTGACAGTGGGAACTCTTTATCTGGTCCTAAGGCCTCAGGCTGATTTTCCTTAAGGGTACAGTCAGATGATGTTCTCTATTATCTCAAAGTGTGCAAACAGCAGGCTCCCAGCTTCCCATATGCATGGTTACTGTGTGCATGGAGGTGTGTCAGACAGTATCACCCACTTGGATTCCTTCCTCCTGAGTCAAGTACTGATTGGCATATACTCTGCATCCATTTTTGGCAAGCTGGGAGATGTTCTTGGTAACCTACACCTTCTCCAAACTGCCAAAGTTTGGAAGACACTGGGGGTGAAGGGTGGCAGGCATGGCTAAGAATCATGCCACAGCTACTGTGGAAGGGCATGTTCTGCGTAAAGGGAAGCAATGAGCTCTTTATGAGCAAACTCCACTGTGGCAAGGTAGACGAATCAATCATTTTGTTGGTAAGTGGTACAACAGAGGTTCTTCACCCACTCAGTTAATACCATGCTTGGTATGGGTTTTGTTGGTAAACAGATATGAAGTACCCCAAATAGCTTCTAGAACTAGGCCATAAATTGAGGGTGGCTATAAAACCGCATTTGATGTTTTGAATGGACAATGAAGGACATCTTGGGTGGTATAAAAGTACTTGGGTGGATCTTCCACCCATACAAATTAATGGTGCAGATTTCTTAGTATCGTGGGATTCCCTGTGACCCAGAGGTGGTCATAGAACCTTAGTTATCCACCCCTTTGACCATTGCCTGTTTGTTGGAACTGGGGCTGATTGGCCATAATGCTTTCAGGTTGAAGAATTTTTAGAGAGGGTCTACCATGGTGGCTCCCAGAAATCTAACTTCTAGATTAGAGTATTTGGTTCCAGATGCTTAGAACACAGTCGTGATGATATCAAGCTCACATTACTTGCAGTTGTCTAGGAGTTGGGGTTGCTGCAGGCAGAGTAATACCACCCTGACTAGAAATACATACAAGGTCAGCTTGAGAGAAAAGGTTATAGTGTTGTATGTAAAAAATGACTCCTGTCTAGGAGGTCATATCAAATGTGGGGCATTAATCCCTTGAAGTTGGCTGATATATTAAGATGTATAGAAACTGGCTGAAGTGTGTTTGGAAGGCTATCTTGTACTTACTGTCTTCCCTGATACAAGGAAATTATCAGTGCTTTGGAAGGAAGTGGACAGAAGCACAAGCCCAGGGAACCAGACCAGTGCTCAGGGCACATTTTTTATATGGGGGCAGTTCTTTTGGCTCTATGTCCAAAAATATCTTCCTTAAAGTGGTACACTTGTTCGGGATTCTGAATATAGGGGAAGTAGATGGAGCATGAGACAACCTGGTAACCTACACCTTCCCCAAACTGCCAAAGTTTGGAAGACACCTGGGGTGAAGGGTGGCAGGCATGGGTAAGAATCATGCCATAGCTATTGTGGAAGGGCATGTTCTGCGTAAAGGGAAGCAACGAGTTCTTTATGAGCAAACTCCACTGTGGCAAGGTAGATGAATCAATCATTTTGTTGGTAAGTGGTACAACAGAGGTTCTTCACCCACTCAGTTAGGGCTGGCTGCAGGCTGCTGAGGTAAAGTGGAGAATGTGGACTTTCTGAAGATAATAATAAAAATAGCTAATACTTAGTGAATATGCTTGGCATGACTACATAAGGTTGAAACAAACGGGAAAGAGAAGCACAGAAAAGTTTAGTAATTTTCCCAAGGTCACATGAGTAGCATGTGGCAGAGAGAAGAGTTAACCCAAGCAGTTTGGCTCCAGAGCCCATGTTCTTAACCACCATACTAAACTGTCCCTTGAAATAACCTACCGGGATTCCAGGAAACACCAAGGACTAAGGGAAAACATGGACTGATAGAAGCAGTCCCATGATGGGCTCCCCTGTTTACAGCTCAACAGGGGTCCTGTTAAGGGTATCTGCTCACCTGGAGCAGCCTTGAATTGGGTGAGTGACATGACATCCTTGCCTTGATCCAGAGGCAGAGCACTGCCTCCCTGAGCACTACTGAAATGGGTAATATCATTTCCTATGGCCAGCATTTGGGAAGTAGAGAGGAAAGGAACTTGGTGGCTAACTCTACCAGTGGACTGGACCAGTCCCAATGGGGAAGATGAGTGCGGAAAGGCTGAGCCCAGTGGACCAAGTGACCTGTCTGCTGCAGTACAGATATAGTCACCCAGCTTGGAGGTGGGCCCACTCCCTAGGCTTTGGCAGAGTGTAGCTATGAGGCACATGAATACCTTCCCCCTTTAGTTTCATGTGGATAGGAGATGGTGGTCTGCTGCAGTTACAAGACAGTACAGGTTGTTTCCAAGATACATTTCTACAACTTCAGTAGGTCTGTGAAGGGGCTTAGAGGATCTGGCCAGCTCATTCTTGGCTGAATACCATTCATACTCCTGTTTGAAAAGCCAGAACTGCAGTGCCCTCTGCTGGAGTCTAAGAATGGCACCTCCAGCTGTCTCCTAACAGGTGGTTCACCAAAGAGGCAGCTCAGAGGCCAGGAGACCTAGGAGATTGAGCAGAGGACATTCCAGCCAGGTTTGGGAAAGCCACCTATTGTGTCCTCTGACAAGACCCAGAAAATGAGAACATAAGTGAGATGTGCTGAGGTTTTATCAAAGACTCAAGGTTTAGCTTTTCTTTGAAGCAACTTGCGTGGAATTGGAAGAGAGGGCAACTCTGAGGATTTGTTAGTGAATTCCTCTGGGAAGAGGAATGATAAGGGCAGCTGTGGAGGAAGCTGGAGTGAAGCCCTTTGGCTGTGCATAGCTTGGAAGTCAGGGTGTCTGTAGCGAGTCGCTGGAGAGTCTGGAAGAGAGAGGTCATTTGTTTCAATTGTCTCAAGATAA